ATAGAAGAACTAGAAGGACTTTCAACTAGAATATAAAACTATGTACTGGGGTTTTGGGGAGAAAAAAAAAAGAGGAAGATTGGCAACAGATGTTAGCTCAGGGCAAATCTTTCCCAGCAAAAGGCTTTCAAACCACTGTTATCTCTCTGACTTTTCACCTTCATAATTCTGTTTAGAAAAGAAAATGCATGCTGGGGTCATACTTGAAAGCTTCTTCCAAATGTATCAGCTGCTCTTTTGAGGCCCTGTCTACCTACACTTAAATGAACATAGTAATCATCACTATAGATCAAATGAGATTTCTAAAGTATTGTCAATGCCTGAAAACATTTCTGCAAGAGAAGTTATAAAGAAAATATATAAAATAAGACTGGGCATTAAATCCTCTTTTCTTTCTCTACCTTTTCCCTCCCAGGGTTCCCCGAATATATATGACCATGAAGTCACGATAGAAGCTGATGCTTTTTTGCCTGTGGATGAAACTCTGATTCCTACAGGTTGGTGAATTTAAACTTTTTATGAGAATGCAGAGCTGGGGTGTGATTTGAGGAACACTGAAACTTCATTTACCTAAATTTATTTTGCTTATTGACTTGCCAAAATGCCTAGAATTACCAGGATTAGTCATTTATTTTGGTTAAGGTTTGTGACCATATAATTAAACACCCAATCCAGCACACTTTTGAGAGGGAAAAGGGATGCTATTAATAATTAAGCCAGGACAACAGGCATAAACTGGGACAGTCCCAAACAAACTGGGTCATATGGTCATCCTAGCTGAGCCTTAGACTCCAAAAGTTCTCCACGAAAATGTAAATCTGTTACTTCTTAGCACCTTAGTGGAGATAAATTTACCTAAACATTACCTCACAAATGCAGGACACTGATAGAACACAACATGCCTTTTTTTTTTTTTTTTTCTATTTATCTCAGTTGTGTTATTGGTTAAAGAACTAAGATTTTAATGACTGTACTTTAGGCACACCTTTTGATTCTTTTTTTTTTAAATTATTTTATTGAGGTCACTTTGGTTTATAACATTGTGTAATTTCAGGTATACATTGTTATATTTCAGATTCTGTATAGTCTGCATCATGTTCACCACCAATAGTCTAGTTTTTAGCCATCACCATACATATGTGCCCCTTTACCCCTTTCACCCTGCCCGCCAACTTCTTCCCCTCTGGTAACCACCAATTTGTTCTCCTTATCTATGTGTTTGTTTGTTTGTTTATCTTCCACATATGAGTGAAATAATACAGTATTTGTCTTTGTCTGACTTATTTCACTTAGTATAATACCCTCAAGGTCCATCCATGTTGTCACAAATGGCCTGATTTTGTCTTTTTTTATGGCTGAGTAATATTCCATTGTGTGTATATATACATATATGTATACCACATCTTCTTTATCCATTCATCCATTAATGGGCACTTGGGTTGCTTCCATGTCTTGGCTATTGTGAATAATGCTGCAATGAACATAGGGGTTCATATATCTTTTTGAATTAGTGTTTTCATGTTCTTTGGGTAAATATCCAGCAGTTGATCCAGCTATTCCAGTTCTGGGTATTTATCCAAAGGACGTGGTTTTTGATAGAAGAGGAAAGGGTAGGATGAGTTGTACTCTGTGGAGGACAAATGCAGATACATCACCTCTGAGACACAGTTAGAGTGTGGGGTGGAATGGGGAGTCCAGAGTATCAAAAGGGAAGGTAAGGTGTTGCCAAAGTCAAACTTCGTGTATGTGTGTGTGTGTGTGTGTGTGTGTGTGTGTGTCCTAGACTAACTGGATTGAGATCATCTTATTATTATTATTTCAGATCCAAAGTACCTTGGTACAAATAGGTAAATCCATAGAGATAGACAGTAGATTAGTGGGTTGTCGGGGGCTGAGAGCAAAAGAGAATGGGGAGTGACAATGGGTATGAGATTTCTTTTTGGGGTAATGAAAAGATTCTGGAATTAGATAGTGGTGATGGTTGCACAACCTTGTAAATATACTAAATACCACGAATTGTGCACTTTAAAAGAGTGAATTTTATGGGGTGTGAATTATATCTCAATTTAAAAAAAGAAAGAATGAACAACCCTTGGTTCATGTGTTATCTCCAGGATTGAGTGGTGTAGTTTTGTACTAGATTGTAGGTGCACCCCATCTACCTCCAGGGGACAGATGGATGACAGCAAGATGACTGGCAGGGGTGCTGCTATTTGTGAGAGTTTATGGAAATTAACTTGAAGTAATTACCCCAAAGCAATAGATGAATATTCTTATTGGGATTTCATTAAAGTCAGAGATCAGGTGAGTGTAGAAGGCAGTCAAAGAAAACTAAAAGAAACAAAAATAGAGGATGAAGGGGAGGAAGAGCAGAAATCTAGAAAGACACAAACACTTTCGCATCAGCCCCTCTTACCCTGGGAGGAAAGGCCTCCCTTGTGCTGCCACTTGACCAGTCAAGGTTTCCTGCCTGTGTCTGACAGCGACTTCTTGGAGGTGTTACCTCATAGCTCCTTGTCAGACTGCATATGTCCCGTGTTCCATTCTCTCAGGCCTCTGTTCAGGGCTCCAGCCCTCAATAAGCCCATCTGCTATGGCAGTGACATGTGGAAGGTGAGGAAGGCCCTTCCCTTCCGTTCCCACCC